CAGAATTCTCTTGCAAGGGCAGCAACGTTGGATGTTCTCCCTGCCCAAGCAATTAATACACCTTGGTAAATTAGAGAAGACAAGCTCTGGTTACTCTGCAGATTTCAGCTGAACTCTCCTTAGGAGCCTTCTGCATTATACAACGTGTGTTACGTAAGCTTTGTTTCAAGAGGGGACCACGATCTCTAATCGCACCGAGCTTATACCAGAATGCTAACCACAAGATGGTTTTGGGTTCCTCTTGAATCTTAGCAAACACCTTTCATGACCAACCAGCGTTATACAACGTGCATGCTTTTTATTGAGAAGAAAGGCTGAGAACAATGCACACCCACCCGGCATATGCTGGAGTGTTAAACCCAGGCAGGGACTTATTCTGACAACTGATAGGCGCTTAGCAAGAGAGAAGCTGGATTTAGAGAAGGGAGGTCTGGATTTGGCATTGCGCATTATTTGCCGTGTTTGTAATTTCACACTTCCTCAAAGCTCCCCTGCATTAAAACACAAACACACACACAAAACTCCCTGCAAGTTTAAACTTGCACAGCAGGGACTGGGTGAGGTTAGAGACTCTAGCTGTGCCAAGCACACTCCTGTTGGCTGGGCACCCTCTGCATCTCCAGTGCTGGGTTTTAAAGCCACGTTCATACATGACATGATCCCCAATGCAGGTGTATCTTGTGCTTTGCTATAAGAAGCTCCTGGTTTGTTCCTCAAACCAGATTTGTCTCTAGCCAATGTGTGAACACCTTTGCAGAGGGGAGAGACAAAATCGCCTGTTCATGTCCCCAATGGAAATCAATTGAAGCCTAATTGTACAGTGGTACCTCTGGTACCTCTGGGATGCGGGTGGTGCTGTGGGTTAAACCACAGAGCCTAGGACTTGCTGATCAGAAGGTCAGCAGTTCGAATCCCCGCAACAGGTTGAGCTCCCGTTGCTCGGTCCATGCTCCTGCCCACCTAGCAGTTCGAAAGCACATCAAAGTGCAAGTAGATAAATAGGTACCGCTCTGGCGGGAAGGTAAACAGCGTTTCCATGTGCTGCTCTGGTTCGCCAGAAGCGGCTTAGTCATGCTGGCCACATGACCCGGAAGCTGTACGCTGGCTCCCTCGGCCAATAAAGTGAGATGAGCACCGCAACCCCAGAGTCAGCCACGACTGGATCTAATGGTCAGGGTCCCTTTACCTTTACCTTACCTCTGGTTATGAACTTAATTCGTTCTGGAGGTCTGTTCTTAACCTGAAACCGTTCTTAAGCTGAGGTACCACTTTAGCTAATGAGGCCTCCCGCCACCGGCGCACAATTTCTGTTCTCATCCTGAGGTGAAGTTCTTAACCCGAGGTACTACTTCTGGGTTAGTGGAGTCTGTAACCCGAAGTGTTTGTAATCCGAGGTACCACTGTATAGCAGTTGTGGCGGGAGAAACAAACTTCACTGCAGAAGAGGGGAATGTGAACACCCCTCCACTCTTGCACTCTCTGGAGAGCTTGTTTTGAATTGCATGGACTTTTAAATTGGAGAAGTCGTCAAAAAAAGGCAATAATAATAGTTACAGTAACCGTTACCATCTATCTCGGAAAGGAGCCCAGGGTGGCAAACAGCGAAGTGGCAAAAGTGTACCATTTAAAAATAAAAGTTTAAGAGCTTCTAAAACATTTAAGAACAACCCCAAAATGGTCCACCCCACCTCAGCATCATGTTCTGCTGCAGGTAAAGGTTAGCTGTGATTCCTCCATTGTGTGGGGTTGGACTAGATGACACTTTGGGTCCCTTCCCACCTTACAATTCTCTGATTCTGTGATTCTAGCCGCAGATCGAGTAGCAGAAGTTTCATGCACCAACAATGATGACGATTAACTACTGAATTTGTGTAATAGAGATGCGTAAAGAGCCATGATACAATTGCATGGGTTGCTCAGCTGTTTACAATTTTGAAAGCCCAAACTCACCCTGGGCACCCACAAGTCCTTGCTTGAGCCTCCTTTTGGTCCCAGCCTATGAACAGATGGCAGCCTTCTGGCATATACAACTGTGCATTTGGCAACTCAAGCATTTCCCAACTGCAACACCCCTAGAATTGCAATGCAGAAACAGTATGTTATAGGAGGGGCTTGTTATAAAGAAAGACTCCAAATAAGGGGCTCAAAAGTTTTGAGACTTAACCCTCCCCCCCAAAAAAATAACGCACGAGGAGAAATGAAAAGTCAGATGTTGGGAAAGTACCAAGAATGCTCCATTGCACAGGGATGTTTTCTTAGTGCTCCAGGCTGTGTTTTGAACATGAACATGCTAAGTAAGGGCCAGGACACGAAATGTTTGAACTGTAAAATAACCTTGCTCCTCTTCCTGTGACCACACACTTGCTTAAAGTTTAACTGGACTCCCTCTCCACCCCCACCCCCACTCCTGAGCAGGGGTGGAAGGTCAGAACAAAAATGGCCACAAGGCCTTTGAGAGCTGAATGGGAACATCGAAATCTGCATATCTTGGAAACGAGTATGTTAATACTCCTGCGTGCTCCCAAATAATACATTCTGCCAGTCACATGATCCAAATTCCAGAGGGGTGGCCATGTTTGTATCCTGCAGCCAAAGGTGTGCTAGGCTCTTGTACCACCTTGAAGACCAATGCATTTTCTCTGGCAGAATCTTCCTTGCTGCAGAGCCCTGCTGGGTTACAATAAATCAACAGGTCAAATAAATCAATAGGTTCACTTGTTGATTGAATCAAGAGAAAGGATTTTGAGCACGCTCTGTGTGCCTTACCTGCGCCAGGATGTCTTGCTTGCCTAGGCAGAAGGCTGAGAAGATGGAGATGACTCAGGTGATTAGCCAAACCTCCCCCAACCTAGCATCATCCAGCTGTTTTGAACTATAACTACAACTCCCATCATGCTGGTTTGTAGTCTAGAACATTGGGCAAACATCCCATTGGAGAATGCTGGCGTACCCAATGAAAGGGACACTGCTTTATTATTATTATTTGTTGTTTCTATACTGCCCATCACCTAAGTTTTCTGGGCAGTTTAAAAAATTATTTTAAAAAATATAATACAACCTCTCAAAATGAAAAAGCCACACATCAAGAATAACCAACTACATCAAATACGAATCAGCATTAGCAACAATCCAAGGCCAACACAAACTTACCCACAGAGAGAGTTAAAAGGCCTGTAAGAATACAAAGGTCTTCACCGTACTAAAAGTCCATAATGCAACTCTTATAAGAAAAAACTGCTTCCTTTCCCTTATGGGGTATTCCAGAACCCATATAGAGTCCTTGAGGGTTCCCTATCGGTAGGAGGAAATAACAGAGGCCAACCAGAATATATTTGAGAAACAAAGTGGCTAGAAAGCCTGATCTTTATTAAAGGAAAATAAACTGTTGCAATGGGGTCCTCACTCACCACACGCAGAAGGGAGGAGCACCCTGAAGAATGGTGCACAAGCCCTTATATAGACTCATGAAATTGCTCACCCTGTAGCCCAAGACCCACCCTCCCCCAGCCCCCCCAAAATCATACATACATCAAAGAAGGAGGCGGTCTACAGCAGAAAACCTGTCTGTCAGGATACCTGATAATGGTCACTGATTGCATTACCTGGGCATCCTGGGCATTCTTTTGTGATGGTTAATACTCAGTTCCCGAATCCATGCCACAGGCTCACCCTATTCATACACAAATACGCCCTTAAGACAGGATTTGCAAGCAAAAATACAATGGGAAAATTTCCCCTTTTGCCTCACTTACTTCCGAGGAATATTTGAGGTCATTGGGAGAGTCAAAATGGCTTCAGGATTGCTCTCCCATACTATTTCAGACACATGGTTCATATATTTAGATAGGTGTGTATTTATGAATATTTATTCTATATTTGAGACCTTAAATTCTTATAATGCAATCACCAGGCAATCCTCAGTGGTGCTTGGCGTTCTACAAATTCCTCTTTCTTCCCACGTTACATTAAGATCCACTTTGGCCTGTGGTTGGAAAGTTTGAAAACAGTCACCGAAAAAAGCACATCCATGTTGGTGGGTGGGAGTTGCGGTGGAGGAATGGGTGAAGGGTTTAAGTTTTTGCTGTGAAGTGTCACCTTGATGGAGCAGTAAGTTAAATCCTGAGGCTCTTCTGCAAAACACTCTCCTAGAAGATTAGCAGGCAGCTTCAAAATCATGATGGCATCCAAGAGCTCTGGTTCACACATGCACATTCGCCACTCAGATCATTCATCAGCACCAAGCAATGAATTGCATGCATGCATGAGACATGACTGATACATTTATAAAACACACCACAGGATTTCCATTATTGCTACTCGCACTGCAAACACCATCCAGCACAGTTAATTCATGCATTCGCAGCTGCCTTCCGCAAATGTACACAACAATAACCAAGCAAAAAGTACTTTCCAAACCATGTGTCCCTGGGAACCACCTTGCTGTTGTATGACCTTGCTGTGACTTTTGGCCCTGCATGAGAGTGAAGGATAGAAGTGCCTACTTAGCTGCTCTACAGGAGAGCCATGAAGCAGAACAGACTCAAATTTCCATGCCTACCTGAGCTAACTACCACTATGGAACGCTCCCTTGGGCTATTACACATTTGTTTATTCACCAATCCATTGAAATCCTTTGCAAATGGTCCAATTCTTATTTGTTTGGTTGTTGTTGTTGTTTTTTAAAAAAGCTACTTGCAGTCCTAATGTTTATTCCATGTTCCTCTTTTTTCATTACTTATCCAGAGTGGCTGGTGGAGATGCTTAAATATTTCCAGAAGCATTTCACCCATCTCTGGGTGGAACACAAAAGACGAAGGTCCAGACTGGTATCGAAAGATGGAAGATGCAACATAGAGTTTGGGAATGTAGAAGAACAATCAAGATTTGTTTTCTTGGTTGACATCTGGACCACCGTCTTGGACCTCAGGTGGAGATATAAGATGACCATCTTCATCTCAGCCTTCTTAGGTAGCTGGTTCTTGTTTGGCCTTCTCTGGTACATGGTGGCCTACATACACCAGGATCTGCCAGAGTTCAGCCCTTCGATAAATCACACTCCATGTGTTGACAACATAAATGGTTTGACATCTGCTTTCCTCTTCTCCCTGGAGACTCAGGTTACTATTGGCTATGGTTTCAGGTGTGTTACGGAACAGTGTGCCACTGCCATTTTCCTGCTGATCATTCAGTCTATCCTAGGGGTTATCATCAACTCGTTCATGTGCGGGGCCATCTTGGCCAAAATCTCTAGGCCCAAAAAGAGGGCAAAAACCATCACCTTCAGCAAGAATGCCGTCATCAGCAAGCGTGGCGGAAAGCTGTGTCTCCTCATTCGGGTGGCCAACCTCCGAAAAAGCCTTTTGATTGGGAGCCACATCTATGGCAAGCTCTTGAAAACCACCATCACACCTGAAGGGGAGACCATCATCTTGGACCAAGTCAACATAGACTTCGTAGTCGATGCCGGAAATGAGAATCTCTTCTTCATCTCCCCCTTGACCATCTACCACATCATTGACAAGCGCAGCCCCTTCTTTCACATGACGGCGGACACCATCCTTCAACATGACTTTGAGCTGGTGGTGTTTCTGGATGGGACGGTGGAATCCACCAGTGCCACCTGCCAGGTGCGGACCTCTTACATCGCCGAGGAGGTGCTGTGGGGCTATCGCTTTGCTCCTATGGTCTCCAAGACCAAAGAAGGGAAGTACAGGGTGGACTTCCATAACTTTGGCAAACCTGTGGAGGTGGAGACCCCTCACTGCGCCTTCTGCCTTTACAACGAGAAAGATGCCAGAGCCAAAGCAAAGATGGGCTATGACAACCTCGGCTTCCAAATTCAAGGAGTCGGTGAAACCAATGACACAAAAATGTAATCTTCAATCGGATGAGATAGGAATGCTGACCTCTCGATAGAAACTAGGATATTGCGCCAAAAAAGCCTAAGAATATTCTGAGTACAGAAGGGAAAAGGGACTGGGTTGTTTGGCTACCGAGTAAGACTTTACCAGGGCAGGGTACACAGCAGCAAATCCCTGGGTGCTGCTAACTTCCTATTGTTTATAGTCACAGAACAGTCTGTATATTTTTATATATTTGTGAGACTTTTATGTAAATTGGTAAATTGATATGTCCAATAAAATTTTCATTCAGATTTTTGGAATAATAGAATTGTATGTTGTGAACCACCCTAAGACTTGTGGGGTGGTATGCAAGTAATAATAATAATAATAATAATAATAATAATAATAGAAGAGCTGGAAGCCCAAAGCATCATCTAGTGTAACCCTCTACAATACACGTTTGGGAACTTTTGAGTGGGCTTATACACAGGAAGCTGCCTTGCTCTGAGTCAGGCCATTGGTCCACCTACCTTAATCTTGCCTACACTCGTAGCCTTTCCAAGCTTGGTGTCCATTGACAACCACAGCTCCTATCCTTCCTCAGCACTGGCCAGGCTGGTTTCGGCTGATGGAAGTTGCCCAACAACATGCGACATGTCCCAGGTTGGGGCAGGCATGAGCCCTTCTCAACCCTACATGGAAATGACTCAGGGATGGAATCTGAGACCTTTTGCAGACAAAGCATGCATTCCATTCTTGAACTATATTGGTTCTTCCCCCTCCCTCCAATCTACATATGGGCAGGAACTTCAATGTTTCACAGGCAAGCAAGACTCCTTTCCCACTCAATAAGCGCCAGCTTGAAGTTGCATGATATTCAGATCTTTGATGAGACTCAAACGAGGGGAGAGTCATTCTGTTATTCACTTAAACTTGCATGGAATGCATGGGATATATATGGGGGAGTTGGGTATCATTATTATTACTATTATTATTATACTGCCCTATACCTGGAGGTCTCAGGGAGGTTCACAGAATAAAATCAAGATATAAAACCAAAATCAAGATAAAACATCAAGATATAAAAACAAACAAAATACATAATAAAAATAAAAGCAACAACCCAATAGCCCCCCCCCTTCACAAAAAAATACATTTTAAAAGGGCATAGAGTGTAAATCGGATCAACCAAAGGCCTGGTTAAAAAGGAACGTTTTTGCCTGGTGCTTAAAGGTGTATAACGAAGGCACCAGGCGAACTTCCCTGGGGAGAGCATTCCACAGATGGTGAGCCACTGCAGAGAAGGCCCGTTCTCATGTTGCCACCCTCTGGACCTCTCGAGGAGGAGGCACACAATGAAGGGCCTCAGAAGATGATTTCAGGGTCCAGGTAGGTTCATATGGAAAGAGATGGTCCTTGACGTATTGCAGTCTTGAGCCATTTAAGGCTTTATAGGCAGTCCTGAGCCATTTAAGGCTTTATAGGTAAAAACCAGCACTTTGAAGTAACTAACTGGTGGCAGGGGTTTCAACTAGATGACCCTTGGGGTCCCTTCCAAGTCTACAATTCTATGATTCTATGGTTCCAGCAGACCTCATCCCTAAACCCATACAGATTTTGGTCCTCGAGGATTCTCGAGGATTTTGGTCCTCGAGGATTTGGTCCTTAGGATACAGAACACTGAGCAGCTGTATTCAAAAAATGTGTAGGGAAAGGGCAGGGATGCAAATAGCCAAAATGTATCTCAGGAAGGTGAGAGGCGTCGTGCTGCAATCCGGTACAAAAAATTTTGCGTATGCAATTTGTGCCGCGTGAAAGAAACCGGAAAGGCTGCCCTGACTTAGCTCCTGTGGGTGTTTACCGTGACCGATTAGATTAGTAAATACAAATAAACCCTTTGAAAATAGGAAGAGGGAAGGAAGCCTCCCTTAATCGCATTTCTATTCCCCCTTATCCTCCCTTCGTTATTTATGATGTAATAATAATGTGATGTCATACAGTCCACGTTTCGATAGGAGTTTGCAGATGTGGGCAGACGGAGACTTTGGGTTTCTTCCCACAGATGCAACAGGGACAGGTTCACAGCCATTGGTTAAGATACCATCTGATGAGATGGTAGATGTGGCTTCACTCGATACTTGTACCACCTTCTTTGCCATGTCTATGGAAGTGGGCTCGTCTTGTCCTCTCCCACTGGGCAATGCCCAATTTTGAAACTTTCGCGTGACAGATTCAATCAGTCCATTTCAGTTTTCCACTTTTCCAGTCTAAAATTCAGTTCTTCACATTTTCACATCAGTTTGTCATTTTTTGGTGTGTGTGTTTTTTAAAGTCCTTATGAAAATTCACCTGCATCTTATTGAAAAAATAATTTCTATATGCAATGTTGCCAAATATATGCATTTTTGCATGTTGCTTTCATCAATATACGCCTTTTTATGCACACTTTGCCCTAGTGCGCTGGTCTTCAACTAGTGGGTTGGCATCCACTGGTGGATCACAACCTGATTCAAGGTGGGTCATAACAGGAACAGTACCACCAAGCAAGTATATGGTAAAAGATTAAGAGAGGGGTCCACAAATGCATGTTTGGGTTAAAATGGTCCTGGGCCATTGAAGATACCTGCCCTGGTATAGACGATTTGGTACACGATAATAGAGAACTAAATTGCAAAATCTGGAGGAGTGCAATCATCAAAGGATGGTTGCATTTTGGTTGATGTATTGTTTTAGAAGCAACAATAAGTCCGCCTTTACATGCAAATTTAACTGAATCCCACCCACCCACCATTCCCCATTTAGAGTATATCCACCGAAATTACCTACTAGGTCTAGGTGAATCATGTCCATTATTGTTAATGGGTCTACTCTGAGCAGTACTAACATTACCTAAAACCCAGAGGCGGAGCAAGGGTGGTGCGGTGGGGTGGTGCGCCCCAGGTATCATCCCTGGGGGGGGGGGTGTATGACAAAGTCCTGGCCAGGCCCAATCACGGCCTCACCAGAGCGCACCCCCGGCAGGGCCGCAACGCCGGATCACACCCCCTGGCTGGGTGCAATCGCCCCGCCCCCTGGGTCAGGAGTTGCAGGCGGGCAGCGCACCGTTACCCCGCGCTCCCGGCTGGAGGAGGCAGGCAGGCAGGCAGGGGAGAGTACGGGAAGGAGGCAGGCGAGCAAACAATGGAGGGAGTGGGAATGGGCACCGCGTGCCCCGTCCCGTCCCCCCCCCATGCACGGTCCCCCCCACCCCTATGGGCAGTTTGCGCAGCCCCAGGTGCCCAAGAAGCTTCCTCCACCACTGCTAAAACCACATTGTGTTAGGAGCCTCCTAATGGAGAGATTGTGCAGAGAGGTATTGGCTTTTCCTGAACCTGATCATGTTTTACTTGGAAGCAATAATTCACTAAGGGCTCTGATGCTTACCGGTACTTCAGAGTAATCCCACAAAGGACATTCTAATGCTGGAGGGGACGTCTTGCAGACCATTTTGTTGCAGAAGGAAGCCCCCTTCAGGTCAAAAGAGGACATTACACTATTTCTCAAGTCATTGTCTTGGAATAAATGCGTGTGTAACTTTTTCTAAGACCCCTGAAAAGTCCTCATGAAAATTTATCAGCAAATTTCTCCTAAGATCTACACTTTGTATGCAATTGTGCCTAAATTGCATATTTTTGCACAGCGTATTTTCTCTAATATTTATATTTTCTCCAACATAATGAAGCTTGAGGGTGTTCTTTCCACAAATCTATGCCTCTCTCTTTTTTGCATTTTTTGCACACTTTTCTTGGCTGGGGAAATGCATTGCAAAATCCAGAGGCATAAGGATTCCAAGAGACAGCTGTGTTTCATTTCATATTTTCCTTCAGAAAGTGCAAATCCAGTAGATTTGCCTTTAAATGCATGCTGAATTGAATGTCTCCTTCTCCACCCCACACCCTCACTCCCAAGTAGCAGGTCTGCATGTCACCATTTTATTTTCGTAAGCAACTCTGCGTGGCGTCAGGCAGGCATCTCAGCATTTCCTGCTGAGGTCCTTTACACTGGAAGGGCTAAGGCTTGAGCCTGGTCAAAGCCCAAACTCCACCACACCAGGCCCTGACCCTTCACAAACCTCCCTTCTTTGATTACTCCTGTGTTTCATGGGGCTGCACTAGAAGACCCTTTGAGTCCCTTCCAGCCCTGCAACTCTATGATTCTAAAAATTCATCATTACTTCCAGGTGAATTACATTGGTACCTTGGTTCTCAAATAACTAGGAACCCAAACACTGCAAACCCAGAAGTAAGTGTTCCGGTTTGCGAACATTTTTCGGAAGCCGAACGTGCTCCGTTTTGAGTGTTACACTTCCAATTTGAGTACCACACTTCCATTTTGAGTGTTACGCTGAGGTTTGTCTGTTTTTGCTATTTATTTTGCATTGTTGTCCTTGCGGCTTTTTTGTTTTGTTTTTGTGATTGTGTGGAACCCAGTTCAGCTATTGATTGATTGATTGTGTGACTGCAGTACATTGTTTATTGCTTTTATTTTATGGATCAATGGTCTCGTTACACAGAAAAATTGCTGTTTTAGGGATTGTTTTTAAAAGTCTGAAATTGATTAATCCAGTTTGCATTACTTTCTGTGGGAAAGAGTGCCTTGGTTTTGGAACGCTTTGGTTTTGGAACGGACTTCTGGAACGGATTAAGTTTGAGAACCAAGGTACCACTGTATTGTACACTTTAACTCCACCTCACACTTGGCATGCACAAAATTTCCCTGTGCCTCTTCTCGTTGGAACCATGCCCTTTTCAGATTGCGAGTCTGCGAAGGAGAGATTTCTGTTTCTCTATTTTTTGTCCAACGGCCTTGTGAGCTTTTATAAATGATGGTGAAAACCCCTCAGATGCTTTGCCTTAGCGGGCACCTACACACTTTTGTCTCAATATCCCAGTTTAGGAGAATCCTTTGTTCCAGACCAGAGGCCACATCACCTTGTTAGCAACCTTCCTGAGGCAGCATAGGCTGAAATAGGCAGCTGTGACTCTTATCTTCAC